TGTTCATTTTCGTTCTTTTGTTCAAAACCAATTCAATAAATGACATTAAAAGTTTTCCAATGTGATAATGGTGGTGAATATGACAACTCTCATTTTCATTAACTTTGTGAAACCAATGGCATTCAAATGCATTTCTCATGTCCTCACACCTCTGAACAAAATGGTAAATCCGAACACATGATGCATACCATTAACAATATTGTTTGTACTCTCTTGTTTCATGCTCATCTTCCACCCAGGTATTGGGTTGAAGCTATTCAAATGGTCGAACACCTTCTAAATATTCGTCCATCCACCTCCATTAATAATGATACCCCCTTTCACAAACTTTATGGCATCAAACCCACTTATCATCATTTGCATACTTTTGGATATCTTTGTTTTCCTCACATTGTCACCTCTTATAAACTATCCCCTCGTTCCACTCCATGCGTTTTTCTTGGATATCCCACATATCACAAAGTACCATTGTCTTAAAAATGACCATCTAATCCGCAAAGGGTCTTGTGGACTTAGTCATGCCTTCTTGGAACTTATGTGTCATCAACCAATAGCCTGATGATGACTTTTTTCTCCAATTCATTTTTTTATCTATAATATTTTTTTCTTTGTGAAAAAAGTCAAAAAACCAACAATGTTAAATTTTAATTATGTACAAAATAAGCATAGTCATGAAAATTTGATTTTTATTTTTATATAAAGCAACAAAAAATATATTAAAAAAATAATAAATATTTAAGGGATACTTCTACTTACTATAACAACGTGTTTGTAAAAAATATTAGTTTTTTAAGTATTTATATTTTAATTTTAGAAATATTTATTTTAATAAAATATAACAGAAATTCTAAAAAGAAAATGAAGAAGTTCTTCATCTTACTATTTTAGTGAGTTGGTAAAAAAAAGGTACTTACGTTTTGTTTAAAGGAATCCAAGTTTTTATAAAAACTTAAAAGTGAAAAATGACCTGCATGAGATACAAAAAGTATTTGTACATATAAAATCGTATTTGTACATATAAAATCGTATAAATATGTATTTGTACATATAAAATCGTATAAATAACATATTAAAACCGTATTTAATAATAATAATAATAATAATAATAATAATAATAATAATAACAATAAAAAATAAAAAATGACCTGCATGAGATACAAAAAAGTAAAATGTTTCAGGAGAGTTTTCAAGCAAAACTTCTTAGTATAGTGGTAAGAGAGCTGGTTTCCTAGGAAGGAGACTTGGGTTCGAAACTCCTTAGCTCCAATTTTCGTTCCATGCACGTTTTTTCCTAAAAAAGCCAACAACGATGACGTGGCCACGTCAGGTTCGACTCAGCAGTTTCACCAAATCAGCTAAGGGGTGACCGACCATCCAAGGTAAAGTTCGGTTAGGGGTAAAATTATACCAATTTTCCGGTATGTCGGGGCTTTAACACACCTAAAAACAGACTTAGGACATAATCGAACATTTTGTGTTCGAAACTCCCTAGCTCCAAATTTCGTCACATGCACACTTTTCTTAACAAAGCCAACAATGCTGACGTGGCTTGCCACATCAGGTCCGACTCAACAGTTTCGCCCAATCAACTAAGGGGCGACCGACCATCCAAGGTAAAATTCGGTTAGGGGTAAAATTGAACTAATTTTCCAGTATCTTGGAGCTTTAACGCACTAAAAAACGGACTTAGGATATAACTGAACATTTTATGTAAAATTTGGGTCTTTTATGTCAATAACCCATATATATTTGTCAAAATCTAATTAGTTAAAAAGTGTATTTGATAATATATGTAAGTTACAAAAAAAATATACTAGGAATATACTTTTTAAAGTAAAAAAATAAGGTTAAAAAATGGAGTAGGGTTGGAGATGAAACACTGTTTATCCTATTTTTTACTCTATTTTTGGAGGAAAAAATGGAGATGAGTTGGAGATGGTCTTAGTGAGCTGATAAAAATAATTCAAAAATCTTGTTGTTAAGGATACTTACATTTTGTTTAAAGGAATCCAAGTTTTTATAAAAACTGAGAAGTGAAAATATTTATTCTCCAAATAAAAAATCATTTTTATAAACATTTAGAAAAGAAATGGTCAAAATAAAAGTCATTTTGATATCATACTTTAATTTTAATAAGTATTATTTTTAATTAATTAATTATTTTATTAAATATATATATATATATATATATATATATATATATATATATATATATATATATATATATATATATATATATATATATATATAGAGAGAGAGAGAGACTTTGTTTCATAATATTTTGGATCATAACAAATTTTAGATCATACAGTTTTAATTTATAATATTTTGGATCAAAATCTAAGAATCATAATAAAGTCTTTTGAATCATAATAATATCATTTCCAAACCAAATAAAGTCTTTTACTATAGGTTTTTATTCATAATTATTTTGATTCATAACATTTTGAATCATATTATTTTGGATCTTAACATTTTTGGTCATATTGAACAATATAACATTTTTTGAACCATAGTAAAGATAATAAGCATGTTGAATAATAACTTTTTCTATTTATAAACTTACTAATATTATGAATAGAAGAACCTGTTAAGTTTTCATATTATTTGGAAACAATTTTTTTTATTTGTGTTTTTTATAAAAATGAAACAAAAATTAATTGTTTTATGACTATGCTTATGTTGTAGAGGATTTAATTTTAAGAACTTTGTTTTTTAGAATTTTGTTTAAAAAGAAAAAAAATAAGATAAAAAAAAGAAGTGGGTGGTTAATTTTGACGAGTCCGTATATGTCCTTAAGTTACCTATACTATAAATAGGATCCAAAGGATCATAATTTTCATTCATACTCTTCCTTGGAAGATACCATGGCCAAAAATATGCTCTTTCCCATCTCTCCTCTTGTCTTCTAGTTCTAGGGTTTGAGTGTGAGCCATTAGAGACAACATCGTTTTGATGCTAAGCTTTCCAAGACCCACACTACAAGGATATTGAAGTGATTTGTTTACTACAACAAATCAAAGGTATGTAACCTTAAACCTTGTAATTTTCGAATTACACTAGGGACATGGTGAGCAAAAACCGAACTAATAACAAAAAACTCGAGAAAACCGCCACAAGCCGAAATCGACAAACCGAAACCCATGCAAAAACCGAGGATGCGAATTTTATTTTCGCAAAAACTGAAGTTATTGGTGCAGTGCGGTTTTTATCTAGAAACCGGTCCACCAAACTAAACCGCACCGAAAGTGTATAAAGAATAAATCACTAAATTATATTATTTACATATCATTTAAAAGACTAATATATACTATATGTTGAATTTGACGGGACGATTAAACTTTAACAGATATACATGTGAATATGTGAGAATCTATATTTGATTTATCATAACATTATTCAAACTTTTTCATTTTGTGTTTGTGTAACCACTATGTGGGATGCATGTACAAATTGAATAGAAAAAAATTAGTATGTGCAAATATATTGACATCAAATCAAATGAGTATTAACATATTCAACAGGAACAACACAAAATTAAATGGACGTCAAAACTTTTCACGGTTTAAAATAAAACCATACCAATGAGCATAAAATATCGCACCATATGCTTGACTCAGTTTAAAACCAACACCGAACCGATACAAACCGAAACCGCATTTGAAAACCACAAAACTGAACCATTAAAAACCGCACTTTGCGGTTTGCGGTTCGGTTTGGCTCTAAAATCGCATCACGCTCACCTCTAACTAGAGTTATGCTAGGTTCAATTCATTGTATAATGTTATCAAGGTGTATGACATAAATTTTATATATGATGCATGTACCCTATTAATTGTTATTGTTTTCCGTATTGTACAATTTTGCTTTCTATAAAACCCAACAACAACACCGCCCGCCTTATCGCCGACTACCTTTCAACACCACCTCCTACATCGTCGTTGGCAATTCCTTTCCATTTTTATTATTTATGATTCTATTACATAAGGAAGTAACCCTGACTTTCCCGGTCGTAGTGGAAAATTTTTGAAAAATTTTTATTTTTTCTACTACCGTGTAACCCCTGACTTTTCCATGCAACCTCTACTGGGAAATCCTGTGTCCGCCCCTCATTAGAAACCAAAATGAAAAGAAAATTCCTGAACTACAAATTGAAATGAACATGAAAAACAAATTTAAAGAACCATGTCAAATTAAACCACCGAACCAAAATCAAATGGATTACTGACGATGAAAACTCCCCAGTCCTTCACGTCATGCAACTCTGTTTTAATCAAAATCAAAATCGATTATGTAGGTGAGACTGATTTTCGGGACAGAGGAGAATCTAGATAGAGAAATCAATTTTTCATCTTGAGAAATTGATTCTACGACGGCTAACAATGTGCATCGGTGGAGGATAGTGTAGAAAGCGAGTGATGGTTAATGGGAGGGTGCCGATCAACGGTGGTGGCTGACATACTTGGTTATTTTGGTGTCTGCCAAAGTGTTTAGAGAAGTTTTTTTTAAAAAAAAAAGCTTGCCAGAAGATCATCATATTTTGGGGAAAGATTCAACAAATTTCTTCAAAAATGTCGATTTGTTGATTTTTGTTGTCAATGGTGATGTAGATTCAACAAATTAGAATGAAGAAGCTAGGATCTGCAAATCGGGATTGGGTAAAGAGAGAGTATGTGTGAGTAATGAAGGTATGTCCGGTCAGAATTAAATTCGAAACAAAACAAAACTATATGAATGATCCGAGTTAGAAAAACAAGTTAAGGACCATTCCTGCAAATTACCCCAAACTAATTTACTCATTTTAGAAAGTTGTTTTGATATTTTTTACACAAAAATCCGAACATGATATGTTTTGAAACTTCGTTTTATTTATTTTAAAGTTCCATTATTTTTTTCTGTCTATTACTATTATTGTTTTATTATAATACATTAACTAGGTGAGTAACCCCGCGTTGCGGGGTCAGATGCCACCTTTTGTCCTGATTTGGCCATACTATTTTCCTCAGATAAATTACCATTTTACCCTTCTTACATACTATAAACCAAATTGTGAAAAGGGACAAAACCACCAGTTGCTGCTGTAAGTCTATCTATAATACTATGTGTCCTTTGAATGAGAGGAAGCATTTTGAATCTTTATCACAAATAACAGGTTTAATAGGAAAGTAAAACTTTGAATATTTCATGAATAATGTTTGCCTACAAATCATAATATTTCATCAGCTTCTTTAACTCCAGTAGAAACGTCCTAACGGCGAAGAAAATGTGCTCCAACTACAACCATAAATGGATGCCCTTCACTATCTGCTCCCCGTTGATACCTACAACAAAAGTAATTTGTAATAATAGCAATGCACTTTGACTATATGATTGAATATAAAATATAAAGTTTTGAAAATGAAATACACCACTTACAGAATGTTCATTTCTGCTATTTCAGAAAGAATCCTGGAGTTTGCTTTTGCAAGGTATCTAGAATGGAGTGAGTACCCTTCAGCAGCTGAAAGTGGGGGCCCACACCTGTTTTATGCTTTTGCGGTTTTTTCCCATTGTTCTTTTTGTCTTTGATCTGGATCCTTGATTAAAGACATGAAAGGTGGATCCAGATATGAATCCAAATGTGATGAAGAGTTCCTTTCATGAAACAATCAATATAAGAACAATAGATTTAATTATCCAATTGTCTTTTGTTATGTCAATCAGCTAAAATAATAGTAAAACACAATGAGCTTTTGAGTTGACTAACCTTCTACTCGAAGTCAACCCACAATCCTAAGCATATCCCATTAGCCTAATTTTTGAGCAGTTGTATTTACTTTTTAGTTGCTATAATAAGTACGACGTTTTCTTCGATTTGCTAATACAATTTTCTTATTTCATATTAGCAATTGTTACGTGATATCAGCCCCTATAATTTTTAATTCAAAATATTTTGACTTGTATAAGACTTGATTCCTGGCCGTGTACTTGTGATCACTTGCATACACCCACTTCTTCTATCTTTCCCATTTTGCCCCTTTTCACTTTTATGAAAGTAAAAAGTGAAACATAAAAATAAATAACATATAAGTGAATGAATTAGGATTGAAAATATTATAATCCATAAGAAAAAAACAAAAAAAAAATACCAATGTACTTTCGATACTATAAAAGAGCTGAGGCGGTTTACAATTTTGACTATATACCCATATATAGCACTCTACTTTCATTTTTCTAGTCTCTAGGGGTATTTTGGTCCAAAACTGTTAAAATCAAAATTTTTAACTATAAAAATAGTATGGAAGAGCAGTTTGGTCCAAAACTGTTAAAATCAAATTTTTTTCATGATTATAAAATTTGTCAATGTGGCCCCCATGATGTGCATAATCTTACATGTAGGTCCCTTTAAAAATATGCCTATAATGGAATGAGCAGGTCTCTTTTCCTCTACGTTGTGTCCTTTTTTGGCAAAGTAAAAACACCCTCGTTTTTCATGAATTTCTATGTAAGTTACCAAAAAATGTACATTCAATAAAAAGAGGAGGTCATAAACTACAATTATTCAACTAATGTAATAAATAAATAAATAAACTTTAAATTTTGAAATTTGGGTCGTATGATTTGTAAAAAACAATGAATTAATCGAATAGTTTTTTAATTTGTATTATTTGTCCAAAATCAGATTCTTTTATGATTTAATTATTGATAAATTTGAAAAAACTATTAATATGTTACCTTGCTCAACCATTAATGTGTTGATCTTTTAAGTAAACTGCAGGTCATCCTAAATTCACAATCTGGCACAACCTCTGCAACCTATCTCTTACACTACAAATTACTGAACCTACCCTTGCAACATCTTCTACTTAAATGTTTGAATTCTATGTGGGAGACTAAAGTTATTTCACAATTTCAATCCTTGTGAAGCACCTACTGCCCTTTCAGCTGTTGGGGGAGGGCAGTCTGGTCACTTTCAATCCCAAGGGAACAACTAAAATAATTTTGTTATTTGAAAAAAAACATGAAGTAATTTTATTGTTAAGATTCTAAATAATTTACTGTTAAAATAATTTCCTTTTTTGAAAAAAATAGATGAAGTAATTTTACTGTTAAAATAATTTTTTTTGAAAAAAGCCATGAAGTAATTTTACTGTTAAATAAAATCCTATAGTTAGGTAGGATTCTAAATAATAAAAAGAATGTAAGATGCTATAACTATATAGAGCTTTTTACAATTTTGATCCCTATTAGAGACTTAGGTAACGGTTTTGGTCCCTGTACCATACTCAATTACTATTTTGCACCTTATGTATTTTTTTTTTATAAAAATGTAATTACCTAATTGTCATTGCATTTGTTGGGTTTAAAGGAAACATTCATTTTATACATTACAGACACCCAAATTAAATAAAAAATAGATTCAGAGTTCAATTTATATTGTAGGCATGACATTGCTACAACTTGATAGATTTTTCAAAGTAGAATGTTGTTATAGAAAAAATGAAAGTAGAATACTATAATAAATAGATCAATGAAAGGTCATTGCTATTTTTTGCATTTAACTGAAGAGATACCTCTGGTGTAAGCTCATCAAAGGCAGGATAAGCATCGGTTTCTAATTGTGTAGTATGACCTCTGGGAAAATTGCCATGCTCGGAATTCAAATGATGGGTGTCGGAGCAACACACCTGTTAAAGGTTCCAAATACATAACAACTTGCATACCAAATACCTGTAGTGGCTAAATGATTTTAAAGGGATAATAAGGTTAAGAGGGGAAGAAATCCAAACCTCTTCAGCAGTGATAATAGCTTTGATATCCTGCCAAACAACAATAAATCACCAAATTTTAATAGTTTTACCCTTCTTTGTTATCTTTATGTTTCAACACAATATTACAACACCCATTTCAGATAATGAGCCACCAAGAGGAATCATAACTACACTTGCTGGAAAAAGTTTACTTATAGACATACAATGCTTTTTTTTAGGAAAAATGAAAATCATCTTCTCACCTCTCCTAATACTACATGTGCAGATGTTTCATTATGCTCCTTTATAAAAAATTCAAAGGATTAACAAAAATCTTACCATTTAAGATCTGATCCAGTGACTTTGTTGTTGATGGTGATGGAATCAACTTCTTTTACCCTTTGTTAGAAGAGTAGGATCTTGAACATTCTGTAACAGTGACAAAAAAGAATTAAACACAAAGAAGTTGTAAGATAGAAAGCTTTTAACCATTTCAATACACAAATTTGTAAATAATCAACAATTTGGGAAGACCGATGGAATCAACACCTGTGTTTCCATTTGGTCCCGTCTCCAGGTCAACCACCACCACTTCCGGTGACCTGCTCATCGCCGTTGTTGAGCTTATACAGAAGAAGCAGCAGAAGCCCTAAAATTAAACAAACCCTCTTCATCTTGCTCATTGCTTCCAGGAACCTGAATTTTGTTATTTCTAAGGTTAGCAGCAATAGTATGACCAGAGGAGTTGGCATGAGGAAGAAGCTTCCTTTTCTTGTTGGAGTTCCAGAAGTTTTTGATTGCACTATCTGTTCTTCCTGGTAAGTGTTTTGCTATCTGTGCCCATCTTTTTTAAAACAAATAACAAAAGAAATCAATATCTTCAAAACAATTAATCAAAAGATAAGTAAAAAATTTATCTTGTTAATTACTTATTTGCCAAGGTTCTGTGTAGATCAGTTATGAGCATGGCTTCTTGTGAAGTAAAGTTTCCTCGTTTAAGACCCGGTCTTAGATAATCAATCCATCTTAGTCTACAACTTTTTCCACATCTTTGTAACCCTGATTCAAATCCAAATCCAATCAAATATATTAGTAATAAGTTAAAAAAATAATAATTAAAAAAAAATAATAATCAAATATATTAGTAATATAAGTATAATATATATTAATAAGTTAAAAAAATAATAATTAAAAAGAAAGACCAGCAAGTTTTGGAACTGAAGTCGAACAACCATGGCTTCCATCTATAGTAATATAACTGATAAGCTTCTCATCCTCATCTGCAAAAGGCGAATTGACAGTGGTATTGTGATTGATTTATTTCACTTCAGTTGACAAAAGAGATGAGAAGAGAGATCTGACCTGATTTTGCTAACCCATGTAATAGGATTCCAATTCTTGTAATCGACTTCCGATACTTTCCGGGAAAAAACATAACGGTATCGATTTCTAAACAGAAGAGTAGAATAACAGAAACATATGTTATATCCTGTCGACTTGAATCTTGACCATGGTAATGCAAATATAACTTTCGACTCCTAAATCAAAGGGCATAAAAGAATAAAAGTGAAATAACATATAAATATGATATAATTATTTCCTGTAGATAATTAGAGGAATCAAACTAACCCAGCAGTGATGCTTGTCTGCAATCGTCCTCCTCCATTCTCGTTTGAGTGAGTCCGGTGGGAGCGATGGTCTTCATCAAGCCCTAATCTGAGGTCCAGATGAGGCGGCTGATGGTGGTAGTGATCGAGGTAAAAAAAGACGACGGGTACCCTGATGTATATGACTCTGTGGAATAAACAAAGTAGAGTGAATGCAAAGTGTCACCTCTGAAAAACGATGAATCGGATAGGTTCCAGTCGACATGAGGTGATCGACGATGGAGGAGTGCGCAGTGGTTTGGAGGAGCGTAGGAGATCAGAACCGATGGTAGGCGGAGAAACTCATTTGTGTCGACCACCACCGCAGCCTCCGCCGCGGGGGGAGACAGCTCCGATCCTGAAGAAAAGAATGACGATTATCGGTGCAGGAAGTGGAGGCGGTGGATTGGATGGCTGTGCCGATGAAAAGAACAGAATGTTTGGATAAGGAAGGGTGGAAGGAAGAAACTGGAAGATCGATTACCTACGCTGTGGGGATAAAATGACCGGAAAACCGGAACTATTCAAATTCATGCTCTTCTTTAATATATATACGGGGACACAAAATCTGGGTATTGTTATAGACTATAGGACCGAAAATGTAATTTAAGGGACCAAAACTGATAAAAATGTCTCAACAGATGGGTTTTTTTCTGCTACAACTCGATTTATTTTTGCTTTCGACATCACTGCCTCCATCGCCCTTAAAAAAACCAGACCAACAGAGCTGGTTGGAGATGATTCGATGAAGAGAGTAGCGATGGGTGGTTTCGTGGTGGAAGCATTAAAAAAGACTACTCCTGCAATTACCGCGCCAGTTGAAAAACCCTAATCAACAATCCAACACAAAGAGGTTGATTGCCTTTCTGATTCAGTTCAACCTAATGCAGATTAACGTTCTTATCATTGTTAGAACACAAGTAAAGGTATCGATTTCTATAGGCTTTGTTTTGATTTGAACATATAGAAGACAAAAGATCAGGTTTTTTTTATTGATTGATTGATTCAAGTTTTTGAACTAGATTTGGGGTTAAGATTTTGGTTTCAGTTATCATTGTCACTTCTCCTCGTGGTGGTTCACACACAAACCCATGGTTCTACAATATCATTTCATCATCCCTCTTTAGGCGATGAGAGTGTGATAGATAATGAACAGATATTTATGAATCTTGAGGTCTACAAATCACAACATTAGTTAGATGGTTGTTGTAGTAATAATAATTAAATGACTGTTTTGGCAGATTGGTTATGTGATCAAAGAAAATTTGCGTGGATGAATAAAAACCGACCTTAGCTCAGTTGGTAGAGCGGAGGACTGTAGTAGGCAATAAGCCAATGGCCATCCTTAGGTCGCTGGTTCGAATCCGGCAGGTCGGAATTTAAAACTTTTTTTTTTAGTCGCCGTTCCTTTTGTCAATGTGAACACAACTCCACTGATATTGAAAAAAATCAAATATTTAATTATTCAGCTTTTGATAATCGGAAATTTCTAAGAAACTCGCATCTCTCTTTATATATAGTTCGTGGAGGTGCTCAAACAATGTATATTCTATTGACAAAATTGCAACTTTGGTCCTTGTGGTATGTCAAAAATTGGATGTTTGGTCCAAAAAGTTTTGGGGTTGCACCAGTGGTCCAAAAGGTTTGATTTGTTGTGGAATTGGTCCAAAGGCTTCACAGCCATTTGTGCCCTCCGTTTGTGTGAGGGTATTTCTGTCAATTCACACCTCTTCTTTTAATATCTTATTAAATTGAGACATACTTTGAAAAGATTTATGCCAAGTGGTTAATTTTAATTTAAAGCTACAACTAGAGGGATTGGTTTTGCCAATCTGATACAAAATTTGGGTAAAGGGACCAACACGATCATCATCTTAACAAATCGGGGGAAAAGACTTTGTCTTCATCAGATTAAGAAGAGAAGGAATGAACAGAAGCAATCAAAAATCGATGATTGTTTTGGTCCTGTAACACAAACGATGGAGGAGGGGTTCTTCACCTTTGTGTCTGATCGGAGAAGAAAATGGAATGAAAGCAGCAGCAGTTGCCGATCCCATGGAGGGCACCACCTCCTTGACTGATTTCTTTTCCTGCGAGGGCTGATCTAATGGGCTCGGTTGTCTCTCTTCTGTCCGATGGTGAAACTCGAATAGAAGGGAGGTAGATCGGAGGTAACTCAACAGATCAGCTAGTCGTTACTACCGTGCCCTTCGTTTTTCCCCATCGCACCTCACGACTGAAGTAGAAGAAGAATGAGTCGTCGACTACCACCTCCTAACACCCCTCGCTGCCTCCTCCTTTCCCTTCCTCTTCTTCGGCCTAAGTCGAATCCCGGAGGCCATCACCGATTGCGAATCAATTGACGAAAAATCAGAAGCCATCGACCCCCTTCCTTCGGCCAGAAGAACGATCGAACCTTCGTTGACTTCGTGTGCCTTCTTCTTGACTGCCTTCGGTTCATTCCCGTTCCAATCTCCTCTTCCTCCCAATCGATTATGCCTTCGTTCTTCCCTTCGTGTTCTGTATTCGTTTCCTTTGCGTTCCCCTTGACGATCGATCAAATGACGAACAAAAAAAAATCTCTTGACCACTTTTTAATCGGGTTCCAATTTTGACAAGTCAAAGTGGAATCAAACTTTAATTTAATTTATTCAAAAGTTACCCTTATTTGACAAATAATTTACAAGATCAATCCTTTTGGACATAAATACCCTCACACAAACGGAGGGCACAAACAACTGTTAAGCCTTTGGACCAATTCCACAACAAATCAAACCTTTTGGACCACCGGTGCAATCCCAAAACTTTTTGGACCAAACATCCAATTTTTGACATACCACAGGGACCAAACTTGCAATTTTGTCATATTCTATTTCTATCTCAACATTTAATATCTTATAAGCAAATTAACTCTGGAGGTTTTTGTAAATTGAAAATTTATTAGAAGCTCACATCTCTATCTCTGCATATATTTCATTTCATTGAGGTGCTCAAATCATATTCCCTACATTCTATCTCGACAAACTAAAGCATCCATGGCATCGTCGTCATCATCATCAGCTTCTCCTTATGCTCCTGCTCTTTCTTCAAAGTGGTGGAAGTACGATGTTTTTCTAAGCTTCAGAGGAGAAGATACTCGAAATACTTTTGTGGGCCATCTCTACTCTGCTCTTGAACAAGAAGGTGTCTACACTTACAAAGACAATGAAACACTTCCCCGAGGCGAATCTATCCATCCATCCCTTATGAGAGCTATTGAAGAATCACAGATAGCCGTCATCGTATTTTCAAAAAACTATTGTGATTCTACATGGTGTCTGGATGATCTTGCACATATTATGAAATGCAGGGATACCAGAAGCCAGATTGTTATGCCTATATTTTATGATGTGGATCCTCTGAAGTACGAAAACAAAAACAGAAATACAGAGAAGCGTTTGCTAAATACGAGCTGGAGAATAAAACCGAGGTTGAATCTTGGAGAAAAGCACTCATGGATGCAAGTAACATTTCTGGATGGGAACCCAAGCACATTGCCAATGGGTAATCTTCTTCTTTCTTTTTCTGCACTATTTATGCTTGAGATATGTGTGCTCTACAACACATTTATACTACCTTTAAAGCGATTGTCTACTCTAGCTTATGAGGTCAAGACTTTGAGCTTTTTATGGCTCAAAAGTAGAGCTAAATGGGGTAGGTTTTTGTTATGGGACTCATGGGCTAACAACCCTCTTTATTGTATTATGTAATCCTGCTTCTTTCAGTTCAAGTTATATAAAGTCTAGCTATTAAAAACAAATTGTACCTTTTAAGCTTTTTATACAAATGTTTAATTATTCTTGATGAAGTTGATGACCTTTACAACGAGTGAGGCTTTGAATACATCACTTGATCAGATGCGAATATAAACCTGTACAAGATTATGAGATACTTGCAGTAACATAGATGTTAGTGGGCAAGTTAAAAGATATCCCAGGTCATAGAAATATGGATAATCCCAAATTAAGTTATAATGTAATTTATCATGTTGTAGTTCTAAATTTGTACCTCAGTTAAAGCGCAACAAATCTATGTTGCATTAAACTATTCCATCTTTCCCAATTGTTATAAACTACCTGTGATCCTATGTTAATTATGCTTGTATATCCAATGTGTAGGCATGAAGCAAAAGGTATCAAACAAATTGTATTTGAAATTTCACAGAAGTTGCAGCCAATAACTTCACATTTAAATGATCAGAACCTGGTCGGAATGGCAGCTCGCTTGCAAGGTTTGAAATTGGAGTTAAAAATTGGGTCAGGTGGTGTTCGAATGGTTGGAATATGGGGTGTTGGGGGTGGTGGTAAGACTACTCTTGCATATTCTATCTACAATGAAATTTTTACCGAGTTTGAAAGCTTCTGCTTTGTAGAAAATATTCGAGAGGAATCAGGCAGGTATGGTTTGGGAAAACTGAAAGACAAAATTCTTTCAGAATTGGGAGTAAACAGAGGTGGGGGAGGAAGATCCTTGATAAATTATAGGTTTCTTCATAGAAAGGTCCTGATTGTTCTAGATGATGTCGATCAACCTGATCAACTAAAAGCGTTAGCTGGATCATGTGATTGGTTTGGTGAAGGAAGCCGCATAATAATCACAACTAGAGATGAACATGTGTTAACTGCTCACAAAGTAGATGTGATACACAATATTAGCTTGTTAAACAATGATGAGGCTATGAAGCTCTTTTGCAAGCATTCTCTTTGGGATAACAGAGCTATGGAAGATTATGAGCATCTTGCAAAAGAGGTGGTCTCTTATGCTGGTGGGCTCCCATTAGCACTTACAGTTCTCAGTTCTTTTCTGTGTGACAAAGACATTAATGAGTGGAAGAGTGCATTAGTGAGACTGAAAGAGATCCCGGATACTGATATCGTGGAAAAGCTAAAAATCAGCTTTGATGGGCTTAAACCAGTTGAGAAAGACTTGTTCTTGGATATTGCATGTTTTTTTAGGTGGGAATACAAAGATGAGGCAATGAAGATCCTTGATGCCTGTGGTTTTCATCCGGTTATAGGAGTGAAGGTGTTGATACAAAAGGCTCTTATAACCATTTCAAATGGAAAGTTTGATATGCACGATCTGGTTCAAGAAATGGGACACTACATTGTTAGAGGGGAGCACCCTAACAATCCTGAAAAACATAGTAGAGTTTGGAAGAAGGAATATGTTCTAAGTATATGTGCTATGGATGGAATGGTGGTAATGGTTTAGCTAGCTTTGCATGATATATATGTATGATAATTAAAGAAACATTTTTAACTCAACCCTGACACCATTTTTTTCCCTATCACAGAAGCTTGACAATACTGGAGCAATAAATTTTCGGCATGTTGCACTTGACAAATCACAATCTTTTCTTCAGGCTGTTGCAAACATGAATAAGCTTCGGTGGATTGATTTGTACGTTGATCAGATCAATGAGATTACACGTCCATTGCCAGAACATTTTGTAATGAGTCATGACCTCGGGGAAAATTTTCCACCAAGAGAATTGTGTTGTCTAAGATTGGCTAATCTCATGCAAAAACAGCTTTGGGAGGGTTATAAGGTAATTCTTATTGTTTCTTTGATTAATGAATGAAAGCAAATTGAATGACTAAGTTAATAAGTTAGATTTAAATAAGTTGCTATATGAATATATGAGCACATGTGACATGTCACTGATTATTGGTGTCATTATATAAATAGGTGGTTTTTTTTTTTTATAAATAGCTAACAGATTGAAAGCATTAACCTTTATTTTATAAATGTTCTTTGTGTTAACCTGATTTTGTATTCATTTTTAAAGACAGCTATATACATGAAAAATCTTATTTTTTATTTTTAGAAACAAATACCAAACACCAAGAAGTCAAGAACACACAAAATCAGAACCCTGACTTGAATCAATACAAATCTTAAACACCAAGAGCACACACATTTAAAATCCTAACTCAACTGACACACCCTAACTCGCCTGACAAACATGATGAGCCTTGTGTGTGTGTGCATGCCTGTGTGCTTTTTTATCAAATTGATACACTTAATTTGTCTTATTTGCACTTGTATGAAACAGCTTCTGCCAAATTTGAAAATCATGGAACTTTATAGGTTGCTTAACCTGAGAATGACACCTGATTTTTCTGGACTTCCAAATCTTGAAAGATTCAACCTTACGTTGTGTTGGTATTTAGAAGAGATTCATCCATCATTGGATGCTCGGAAAGGCTCGTTGTCCTATCTATATCAAGTTGTCCTGGTCTTAAGATGTGTCCATCTATTACTGGACTAAAGAAACTCCAGATCCTTAAATTCTCAAATTGTCCCAGACTTTTCAAGCTCTCAGAGATTCAAAAGAACACGGGCAATTTACCATTTCATTTGGATAATAGTGGTAAATCACGAGTTAAGAAACCAGGAGAGAACCTCATTGATGTAGAAGAATGTTGTTTAGAGCAGCCTTGTTTACCTCACCACAACATCAACCACACAGGGCTATGGGTTTGTAACAGAGGGTTAAGAAAGTTGGATCTTAACTGCTGCATTTTGGGAGATAAAAACATCTCGGATGCTGTTTGGGAATTACCCAACCTGGAAGAACTCAATCTAAGCCAAAACAAATTTTCACAATTAAATTTTGATCTCTTCCGATTTCCTCGGCTCAAATGACTCAACGTGTCACACTGCTCTAAACTTGTACAGCTGTCAGATTTGCCATCAAGTATAGCTGTTGTTATAGCGGATGAATGTTGGTCACTTGAAAGCTTTGGAGACATTTCAAACTGTAAATGGTTGTGGAAAGTCTCACTTAAGGGGAACAACAAAGTAGGTCCACTTTTTGGTGACATATTATTACACTCCATGCTCCAGGTTTAGCTTTACCTTCCAAATTTCAGTCTATATATAAAACCTAAACATATAAAAGAATAATAGAATGTGTTCTCCATGACAGGGAAATGCTATTGAAGATCACTTTGTCAGTTTTACTCTTCCATATCAGATTCCAAAGAGGTTTGTAGGTAGGTTGTTTAGGGGGAAAACATTTACAATGCATCTTCCAAAGGATTGGTACAATGACTTTTGTGGGTTCCTAATATGCTCTGTTCACGGTATGTACCATCCGTGTATTGATATAAGCATCAAGCAGGAGCCTAAATATGATGGAAGAACGATGGAAAACCGATGTGAGCTTTGGCTCGAATCTAATGAAGTACTGGAGCCTTCATATGATGGAAAAACGACATTCATAGGATATGTTTCCTTTGGTTAATTGAAGAACATCTCATTGGTGAATTCATCATACAATATGATTTCATTTTCCATAAAGGACATCGGTTGGAGTTCGTCTGCAGCTCGGATGTATATTGGAGCTGAGCTCGTACCTAGGAAAAGCAAAGGTGATCATGTTCAAAAAACATATTGCTCAGAATTTTGGGATCAGGAAGCTTATCATAGAAAGTCATTTAGAATCCAACATGATTCAAAGTCTTCTATCAAGATTATATGGCATCCTTACGAAAACAACTGGTCGTGACAAACACATTCCTATAGGTCTCTCAACTATTCACTACTTAGTAATTCCTGCTCTCATTCTTTTCTCTTGCATTATAATTGTTAAATGATTAGGAGTGACATTAACTTTTATGACTTTCTTGTTGTGAACCAAAATCTTCGAAATCACATTTACATCTGTCTTTGTTTCCCACTTTTCCCCTCATCCCCCGAGATTAGGTAATTAAATGTGACATGAATCACCTCAGTCTCAACATCTTAGAGGTTTGTTTATAGGTCGTTCCCTCATCTCTGTATCCCATTATTGGACAATAATGGAATTTCCCCACTTATCCCTGTACTTCTCCTTCTACTTCTGCGGTTTTCTTTGTTTCGAGGACTATTTTGTTCACCTTATGAGGTTTAATCCCTGTTAGTACTTGCCTTTACCATCAATTACGAAAGTCAGCAATTAGCAGAATCCTTGGAAGCTCTTGGAATATATGGATATTCCAACATAATTTGTTGTAATTGGTTGAAAAAATATTTGCAACCTTTAGTTTTGCATTGTTTATTGGTTTGTCTAAGTGGATGGGGTTTCAATAGCCTAAAGGTTTTTATTCAAATTTCTTTATCAGGTATTACACCATCATTCAAACTCTGAAACTCCGTATATTAAAAAAAATTATATGGCTTAATGTTTAGTTAAAATTTGACAAAACTGAAAAATGATCCATGTGGTTTGCATTTTTCAGGAAAAATGTCCAAACCTCTAAAGTTTTGGATTGGTGGTCCTTTTTTGAGCTAGTTTTGTTGGATACTTGGTTCCTCCGAAAAATGAAATGACTTTAGTACCCTTGATGTATTTATTTTTCATTTTTCTTTCATTTTTTAAAAATTTAATACTTATTTATCTATTTTAATAATTAAAAAAATAAGAGAGAGCCCACCCCTCTCTCTCTCTCTCACACACACACACACAAACATACATATACATCATCTCTCATCGTCATCTTCATCTTCCCTGAAAATTAAAACACATATACATACTTAGATTATGAATGGTGTACCCGGGCATGCCCATCATATTAACATCGACCAGGTGACAACAGGCTGACTTATAAATAGCAAAGCACAGTTATCCGACCCATCATATTAACACCGACCCGCTGTAGTAGTTCGGCACATAAACGACCAAGCACTGTTGTCCAAACCAATAGACATGTGAGGCAACACCAATATACAACAAACAAAAGATGGAAACGAGACATATCCTAGAAGTTACGCAAGTACAAGATCCTAACAATAATAAAATATAGAACAGTACAAACTTGATTCCAATGATGGAGTAGAGTGACTTGCTTGATCCTTAATCCAAAACCTTTGAGGTCGTGTGTTCCAGATCTATGTCCTTTTGGTGATTTTGGATCTCTAGTGCAAGTTTGGGTCCATTTCTTCCATGTTTGTTGTAACACTCGGTTCCAGGTATGAAATAAATTCAAAAATCTTCATTTTCTCTTTGAACACAGCGTGGTGAAGCCTCACCAAGGCGTGTTGATAGGCCTTTGGGCCGCGAATTTTATTGGACCAACACGGCGTGTTTGTGTCATTACACGGAGTGTTGGTGTCTGGTGGAGAAACCCTAATTTTTAAGGTGTTGCACCCTATTTCAAGGCCCTAAGTCCTTATGACTGGCCTCCTTACCAGCCTCCATTGCCACTAAAACCCTAAAAATCAATCCCTAATGTTGGTTGGTGGAGAAAATTGGTGGAGGCCAAATTAGTGGATGGTGATAATTGCTAGTGGTGTGAAGACCCACTCATAAAATGGCAGACAAATTGGAGAAGGAGTGGCAATCAATACTTGTTGCTTTTTTTTTTAATTCTCCACCATTGCTTTTGTCCATTGGAATTATTTGAGTTCCTATAAATGCAGAAGGTATCGAGCAAACAAAAAACACAACATAGAGTGCAGAGTGTGTTCATCACAATTGTAATCTTCTCATAATACTAAAATCTCTAGTTGCAGCCCGTGGATGTAGGATTTGCACCGAATCCGAACCACGTAAAATCCTTGTGTTCTTCTTGCTTTATTTTGTGAGTTTGTGAGTGTGTGACAGTGTGTTTCCGCTGCGTGTACCCGGTCCGATTCCTAACAACTGGTATCAAAGCCTGGTTAGCGAGGTTTTGGAGGGTACGATCGTTTTTCTGTCACACACGAGTGTACCTTATTTTTTTTTGTTTGCCGTAATGGCTGAAGACAAGGTTATAATCGAAAGGTTCAATGGTTCTGATTTTAGCTGGTGGAAAATGCAATTAGAAGCATTGCTATGTCAGAAAGACTTGGACGTGGTACTCGGAGACAAACCGGAGAAAATGGAAAATGCTGCTGAAGATGCGTGGAACTCAAAGGACAAGAAAGCCAAGGCGGTTATTACATTGTCGTTGACGAAGAGCGTTGCTTTCAACATCATGAATGAAACCACGGCGCGTGGTATGATGGAGGCTCTGTCAAATATGTATGAGAAACCATCGGCGGCTAACAAGGTGTTCTTGATGAAGGAGTTGTTCACTACAAGGATGAATGAGGAAGGCTCAGTTACGGTTCACATTAACAATCTAAATTCAATTTTGTCCAGATTATCATCTGTGGGAATTAAATTTGATAATGAGACTCAAGCTTCGCTGCTACTAGCTTCTCTACCTGATAGCTGGTCCGGAACAGTTACTGCTGTTACGAGTTCCGTGGGGACCAGTGGTATGACTTTTGAAGGGGTTAGAGATTTGGTTCTAGGCGAGGATATCAGACGCAAGAATCAAGGTGGATCTTCCTCTTCTGATTTATTAAATGTCGGAAGAGGTAGAGGGAATAGCAGGAATAGTGGGAGCAGTGGGAGTCGGGGAAAAAGTTCTTCTAGAACTTTGAAGAATGTGAAATGTTGGAACTGTCAAGAAGTGGGACATGTTAAGAGTCAATGTCCAAAGAAAGAATTGAACATTGCTGATGCTGAGAATTTTTCTGGGGATGATGCATTGTTACTCAGTATGGAAAGTTCTGTAGACTCTTGGGTCATGGATTCAGGGGCTTCGTTTCACGCCATGGACAACGGGGAAACGATGGTGAATCTAAAAGAAGGAGATTTTGGGAAGGTATGGTTGGCAAATGACGAGATGCTTCAAGTAACGGGCATAGGAGATATTGATCTGGTTACTTCATTGGGAACTACATGGAACCTGAAGAATGTCAGGGTGATTCCGGATCTGAAAAAGAAATTTATTTCTGTTGGTCAGCTAGATAAACAAGGACTGGAAGTAAGGTTTGGTGGTGGTAAATGGAGGATGGTCAATGGTAATTCGGTGATTGCTCATGGTATGAAGTGTGGGTCATTGTATATGGTTGAGGTACCTGCTGAGGGAAGTATGACCGTCCCGGTTAAGCATGACAAAATCTGGTTCGCTAAATCTGGTGCTAAGAGAGTTCATTTTGCAAACATGAACTCTGGAGCCAAAGAGATGTTAGCTGAACGAGTTCGAAAGTCTAAACCATTCAGGGAATTTGGTGACAGTAGGAGCACGGGACGTGTTTCAGGTAAAGTTACAAAGAGCCGTTGGGTTTTGAAGACTAAGATTGAAAAATTCTCTCCTGTTGGATGTTTGCTATGTTTGGAGAGTGTTAGTGGTCCTCGGTGTATCTCTGGATCTGGTGGAGTGTCCAAACCGGTTGAGACAGAGGATGAGTCGGTGGTGGGATTAGCCACGACTGAGTTGGAGCTAGTGGGAACTTCAACTGGCCCTTCTAGATGATGATGAGGGGCGGCTGCAATTAGAGAAATTGGACTAAGTTTAGCTTGTTCTTGGGAACTGGAGGCTTGGAAGACTTGGTTGTTTTAAGATTACTGGAGAATTGTTGGGTTATTTTCTCCAAGTGGGAGATTGTTGGTTGGTGGAGAAAATTGGTGGAGGCCAAATTAGTGGATGGTGATAATTGCTAGTGGTGTGAAGACCCACTCATAAAATGGCAGACAAATTGGAGAAGGAGTGGCAATCAATACTTGTTGCTTTTTTTTTAATTCTCCACCATTGCTTTTGTCCATTGGAATTATTTGAGTTCCTATAAATGCAGAAGGTATCGAGCAAACAAAAAACACAGCATAGAGTGCAGAGTGTGTTCATCACAATTGTAATCTTCTCATAATACTAAAATCTCTAGTTGCAGCCCGTGGATGTAGGATTTGCACCGAATCCGAACCACGTAAAATCCTTGTGTTCTTCTTGCTTTATTTTGTGAGTTTGTGAGTGTGTGACAGTGTGTTTCCGCTGCGTGTACCCGGTCCGATTCCTAACACCTAAGTCGTTTGGTGCTACTCTTGAGCTAGCAAGAAGTCCTTAGTGCTAATTTTCGGCCTTTGTGAAGGAATAGGAGATCTTGAAGTTGTATTGCTTGGTGGGAGGGCCTTGGATCCAGAATCATCTTCTCTTGTGCAAGCTTTCTAAGGTATCAAGTTTGAACCTTGACTTATGGATGTTTAGATCTTCTCATATTGTGTTTTGTTATGCTTTTGGCCGCTTTTTGGGTTGTTGAGAGAATGAAGTTGTTTTGAGGCTTGTTATTCCAGATCTGAGGTTGTTTTGGGTTGCTTGTGCATAAAGGTGCAAGCTTTATGAGAGAGTTGGTTTCATGCATGTAGTAAGTCACTTATTAAGACCTTTTTAAGCTTAAGAGTTTCATTTAGACATGCATGAACGTAAAGTAACTTTTACTTGGTTTTCCAACTCAAGG